ATCTCGATCGAGGAGAGCCCATCCTTTATCCTTCAGACACACAGGCACGTCGCTTGTGAATGTTTGACAAGCGCTTGGGTAAATTTCGAAGTAACAAAGCGAGAATGAAGCAAACGAGGAGTCGTCGTGGCAGAGAAATGTAATGATAATTTTTTTATACTTAAAATTACATTATGTTTATCAGTTTCAATTTCACCTGTAATTAACAATTTGAAAACAATTTTCTTTCTTGATTATTAACTAATAATTTGGGTATAACCGCTGTTGCTGGCACTTAATTTTTATCCCCCATATTTAATTTTCATTAATTAAGTTAGAACTTTCTTATCAAATTTATCGAAAATTGTGAAGAAATGCAAGAGATATTGGTAACTTGAAATGAAAGATAAACAAGAGATAAGACTTCAAATAAAATTTTAATATATTAACTTGAATTTCAATTAGATCGAAGCGAAAATTGTTGCAAGTAATTTATTATTTTTAGCTAGAAAATAATCAACCTTTCGAATATTAAAGACAGTGTATATCTGTACGTCGTCAGAAGAAGTTGTTTTCTTTCTTTCTTTCCTAGGAAACCTAGGACAGTCTTTCTTGATAACAAACTTGATGGAAATTTTAAAAAGAATGCGACAATTGTTTGGATAATCTTTGTTCGAAGTTCATTTTCTATAAATAAATGATAACTTATTGTTCTAAAATGTTGGGAAAACTACTTAATTTGGAAAACCAATAATTTGTGATTGTGATCAATAAACATTCGCTTTTAATTAAAATCGTTATCGTGTAATATTCGATCAATATTTCGACCTATTGAATAGAATTTGCAAATTTATATCTACGTTTTATAAGTCAGATCAAACATAGGAAATAAATTTAGGGTCTAATTGTCAAAAAATAATTTAAAAAGGTTAGAAATTAATCTTCTAAATTCATTTCTTTTTGCAAATAAAAATTGGCTCGATTTATGGACACTGAAATGCTAGCGTCACGTAGCGGTGAAACGATGAAACTAAAATCTATAGTTGTCCTTGTCGTAATTTATTGTTCTCTTTGTCTGTCGCGCAATATAAACCTGTCCTTGTCACGTACCATTGCGCTCTTTGTCCACGGATGGTGCTGCCATCTAAGCCCTCCTATTTTCGACTAGAAATAAAAGGTAAAAAGGAAAAATCCGATAGATGGCAGCACTAGTACCCATCGAAGTCGGTAATAAATTTTTAGTTTCTACAGTCTCCGATAAATGGCAGCACTTGTTCTATCCATAGACAAAGAGCGTAATAATATGCAACAAGGACAGACTTATATCGTGTGATAGACAAAGAGAACAAGTTACGACAAGGACAACAATAAATTTAGTTCCACCGTTTCACCATTACGCGACGTTAGCATTTCAGTGTCCATAAATCGAGAAAATTTCGTTTTGCAAAAAAAAAAAACGAATTTGAAGAATTAATTTCTGAACTTTTTTAGTTGCTTTTTGATAATTAAACTCTAAGCTTACTTCCTATGTTCCATCTGACTCATAAAATGCATATATAACAATTTACAGATTTCTATTTGATAGATCGAAACATTCCTTCGAACGACGGCGATTTATCTTGTTCAACACTGTGTACAAAAGTTCTCAAAATTGTTCAAAAACATAGTTACATAAAATACCACACGCAGTTTTTGATATAAATTTTTATTCGATCGGTTTTTAATTATTAACAATTGTTACACATTCCACTAATATAGACTAAATAACTTGTGCTAACTTATGCTGCCAATGAATTTATACCAAAAAAAAAAAAAAAAAAACAACAACATTCACTACTTACATTTGTAAGTGAATTCTAACATTAAATCATTTGATTGAAGTCTTGTTATCAAGTCGTCAAATAATTTGAAGACAAGGAGATAATACGTCAGTAAGAATGAAAATGTCTCACGAAACTGAACATAAAATTTGCACAATAAAAGTGCACAGAATCCAATTGATCTGTTATATTTACTACAAAATTTGATCTTTATAGCTACTATACATAATCCTAAGCTGAAATGAGATCAAACTTCAATACCCTGATGAAATTTCAATGACTTTTTATTTTCTTTAAGTTCCCTCAGTAGTTCATCAGCTCGGGTCTTAAAAGTTTGGGCTAACTCAGCATTTTGTTGTACACCATCACCCTTCTTGTGCATTATGGATAAATTAACACAGGCATACGGATTATTCAATTCACAACACTTTAAAGATAACGTATACGCCTCCTTCATATTCTTTGGCACGTATTCTTCAATACCATTTAAATAAACACCGGATAGATAGAAGCAAGCTTTCTCTACCTCCATATCGCAAGCTTTCTTCAGGTATTTCATTCCAAGCATAATTTGACTGCCCCTGACTGGATCAATTTTTTCTCGAGACAACGCAAGAGTACCTGCATGAAGACAACCCCTGGAATCATTCTGTTCACAACCTTTTTCCATGTACTTGAACGCTTCCACAGGATCTTTCTCACACTCTCTACCTGTAAAACACTAAGCTTATGAATCGACAGACAGTAAATAACAATTTCAACAAATATTAGTTAATTATTAGTTAAAAGTATCATCCAGTCGCATTTCAATTTCCCTGGCTGATGCGACGCGCACGCCATCTTTACTAACCCATTATTCTGTAATCGCCGTATTTCGCGCAACTTCTCCCATAATTGTACTCGTCGCAATTCTTCTTGTACAGTTTTATTGCTTCCTTGAAATTTTGCTTGATAGATTCATAATAATCGCCCAAAAGATGACACACTGCCCGGAAAATGTGAAACATTTATACAGACACGAGAGGTTAGAATCATTAGCAGGTTCACCTTACCCTCAGGTTTCTTCTCGCTTAAACAACCGAATTGATATTCTATATGAAGATTCTTTAAATATTCCTGAACCTCCTCTTCACTTTTAAAATTATATCCCGCCATGTCGTACGAGTATATACGCAAGTTTCGTAAGCCACACTCAGCAGTACAGAAAGCACATGGTTTCGTATCTCGGGACGGCGATAATACGCATGCGTACACATCCCGTCTGTGATCTTTCGAACGAGCGCAAGTCGGCTACGAAGGTATTAGTAATTCACAACATTGGGACTGAAGCTTGTCAGTTCAGGTGTGCTTGTCATGCAGTACACTGTATATTACAAATTATTCTTACGTGGCACATGAGGACGCGTATTTTAACAATTACAGCTCGTATGTTGAGGAAGAAAATACGCTTCTTGTTGAAGTAAGTAAGACTTTAATTTTTATTAATATTCTCTATAAAACTTCAAAAATCGTTACGAATTGTTTATGATTATTTATGCTGACACTTTAATTGCTCTATTGTATTTTGAATGCGTCAATTAATAAAATCTATATTTATAGCCAATTCATGCTATCTAGAAGAACTCAGAAATATATTTGGAATTGAATATAAATACTTGCACGCGTAGACAATGTTATAAGATCAAGTTAAAACACTTACAGAACATGTAAATTTTATAAAGTTCATCATTTAACGAAGTTATTGTATTTAAGTAAAGGTAACAAACGAAAAAAAGTTTGTATAAAATACTGAATAAAATGTCATGTAATTATGATTACGATGAATCTGAATTTTCCTTTCACTAGGTCACAATTCGCACAGTTTTACTCGGTTAGGCCGTCTTTTTATCTACGCTTTGAATTCATCTGTATATCAAATGCAAACGTAAAGAAAGTATAATGTATTATACGTATATTTGACTTATATAGCTAATGACGTGTAAATTACAAACTGTTGCTTTTGTACTTTTTGAGCTAATACAACTTTTTTTTTTATATCAGCGCATCAACATCACCTCTATTAATACTAAACGTACCAAGCGGGGTCAAATGAGCCCTTTTCAAAATTTACTTTAAATGAAAATATATGTTTGAGTATTTTATTAAAAGTCAGAAGTTATGTTGCAAATTATTTCCTTTAATAAATTAAGAATTTCTTTCTAAAACATTCATAAGGGGTGAAATGAGCCCTTTTCAAAATTTACTTTAAATGAAAATATATGTTTGAGTATTTTATTAGAAATCAGAAGTTATGTTGCAAATTATTTCCTTTGACAAATTAAGAATTTCTTTCTAAAAATCAACGTTCATTCATAAGGGGTGAAA